GTGGGGTTTATTGAAACTATTTAAGAAAGCTGGCCAATCAGACACTTGAAATGTGACAAATTGCTTTGGAAAAACATTATACAGCATGTCTCTAAACGTATATCAGATTTACTAGGGATTAAACATTTCAAGAAACCGACAATAAGTGCAATAAAAATGTTTAGCACCTGTTATCTTTAGAGTATTATTTTTTCAGCCAATGCACAAAAATTTATTTTATATTAATTGTTTTGCATAATCGTCGAGAATATAATTTAGGTATTATTATTTAAGTCCTCGAAACAAACAAAAAATAGACTTTGAATTTTTAATAATTATTAAATTATTAAATACAAAATAAGTAAGAAAATAATTTTTTATTTCATTTTTTACGTGATACTGAAGACGAAGACTTCTTCTGAAGTGGTACCAGACTTCTTCTGAGGTGGCACCAAAGACTTCTTTTGAGGTGGCACCAAAGACTTCTGAGGTGGCACTAAAGACTTTTTATTTTTGTGGTAAAACCAACAAATTTTGACTTAGGTTGCTCTTGCAATCAACAAAACGCGGTTTCGGCAAAATTTTGACTTAGGTTTGTCTTGCAGTAAAGAATATCCTACAAGATTATTTAAGAATAAAAAATGTAAAACATATTTTGACTTATAGTAGTCTTCATTTAAAGAGGTGGCTAGTTTAGTTACTTATAATACTTTAAAACTAAATATGTTGGTATTGTATTTCTGCATTTCAAAAGTTCAAAAAGGAGCAACAATATTTTTAGTTATGTTGATGTATCAGGAAAAGTATTTTTAGGAAAAATTCAATAGTAACACTTCTGTTATTTATAGGACATTCTTTCGATTTAGAGATATGTTGGTATTGTATTATCAAAGTTACCATCTAGAACACTATAATACCGCACAAATCTCAAAATCGATCAATTTTGAGTTACGGTGGTCTTGTACTCATAGTGCGATGTGTTAATCAATATATCTATGAATGTTTAATTTATGCAAAGAGGAATATTATTAACTTATGCAACGCCTATAAAACAAGAAATATGCAAGTAAGATTGCCATTTTTTCGACTAACAAGGAATCACAATTCTTTTCAAATGTTAAATTGTTTAATCTACCAGAGTTGGGTCGGATACAGGAAAAAAGTATCCGAGTGCCGGATACGGATACTTACAATGTATCCGGATACTTTTTAGGATACTTTCACCTAAAAAGTACTCGGATACAAGTATCCGGATACTTTTTTCGGATACTTTTAAAGTGAGTTAAAATAATGTTTTCATACCAATAGCTATAATTATGCAATAAGATTGAGTACGAGAAACAATAAACAATACTAGGCATAAATAACTTATCGAAAATGGAAAGCGATATAATAGAAACAGGAAAAAACTATATAAATGGTTTATTATTTTTATTCTGTGAATATAAAACATTAAAACAAAATTGACAATAAAGGTGCGTGTAAATAATACGAGTCGCGCCTGAATCGCGCCAAAAACCAGCCAGTGTCGTGTCCATATAAATCTAAAGAAATAAGCTTGTTGTTGGCGCGACTTGCCATTTTTATATAACCTTTCGATATTCTCGTCAATGTCAGATGTTTTTTTTCTCCTGGGCTCGTCTGACTATGTATCTCCGAATAACACTGAAGCCTATTGGCTTATTGTATTTTACCCCATGTTAGTTTATAGCACCCACTCTGTCACCTTTGTACCTTGTACAAGCTTGTACAGATCCTTGGGTGGGCGGGTTCTATACGTTGTTGGATCAACCTGGGGTTGTCCAAAAAGAGCCTGTCTTTTGCGATCTAGAGCTTCGCATTCGCACAGTATGTGTTTGGCCGTTTCTGGTTTCTTGTGACATAGTCGGCACATGAGTTCCCTATTGTACATGCCAATTTTGTTCAAGTGTCCCTTTACTGGGGCGTGCCCAGTCATGAACCCTGTTATCACTTTCAACTGGTTCCTATTCATTGAGAGTAGTTCTCCAGTGTCAGATGTACTCCACAATCCATTTTTTGTGGATCCTCCGACGAAAGGTACTTGGTAGAGTCGAGAGCGTCGAAAGGAGGAGAAGTGAGAGATTGCTGAATGTTTCGTTCTGGCAAAGCAGGCTCGTATATTTGATATTGTCACCCTGTTTTTTATAGGTATTTCAGGGAAGACAATCATAATTAAAATCAGGCAAAAACTCATTAAATTACCATTATTGCTCTTGCTAGACCACATAAATGGCATATAATATTGCCTTCAATAAGGAGATGCCATGTTAAACCCTAATCTCAAAAATAGTCGACAAATACTCGGCCGACATCGGTCATGGCCTTTTGGAGGTCATCATAGGCAGGTTACACTTCCAGAAGGAGACTGTTGGAAGTCCCCCTATATTTTATATGTATTTGTATATTATTTATTGTAAAATTGTACATAATGTAAATAAAGAATTTTGAAAGTAAGTTTGATATTGTCAGATATGCATACTTTATTGATGTTGATGACGACATAAGTAACACTATGAACAACAACGTCATACATGTACATTATAACACATACAATCATTCAGCTATTATTATATCATTTTACTTTTAATATTTTTATTAAATGGAAGTAATACCCCGCTAATTTTATTTATATTTATTTGTCAAGCGATTTAAATGACATTTTGGAGAGACATTTTACACGAAATTCTATATTCTCTTTTATTTTACATTTTTTTTTATTTAAGCTGATTTTCCGAGATATTTTTTTTTTAATTATACCGTTTTTTAAAAATATGAATTTTAAACAAAATAGATACTGAAATTACCTTAACTATCTTTAAATTTCAAATTTCTACTCTTTTTCTATTAAGAGGAATCTATTCTCCTATTCGTTACTTGATTTTTATTTCTCAAGCGATATAAATGTATTATGTTTACACATTTTATTCGAAATTCTAAAACACAATAATTGCAATTTTGTGTCTTAAATATTGTAATATTGAAAAATACGTATTTTATTTCTAATTATATAGGGTAGCTCAAAGTATTTCGATTACATATTTTAATAGAGTTAATATGGATTGGATCAGTTACGATTGTGGTAAATAATTTAAAAGTATCCGAATGCCCAAAAAAGTATCCGGTATCCGGATACTTACAAATTTGGTCACGGATACGGATACCGGATACAAATTTTGAAAAGTATCCGGATACAGCTTTCGGATACACATAAAGTATCCGGATACAGAAGTATCCGGATACTACCCAACTCTGTAATCTACTTCCCCTTGAGTGGCGCCTGCTTAACGAGATAAAATTTTCTATGATATCCATGAATTTTATCGACATTTTGAATTGAATTATATTATATAAAAAATTTTAATTTGTTCTTCAGTCTATATGTATTGTAGTTATAGTCTTCCAATTTATTGTAAATGTTTTTGTTTTTATACTATTATAGTGACATAAGTATTAATTGTAATTGACGAATGTATAAAAAAAATTTTTTGTCTTAACATAATAAAAAGTAATAATAATAATAGATTGTCCTGAAATTCTATCGAAAATTAATCTTTTTGTTCCTACTTGTAAGGCAATCACAATTATTTTATAATCCTTTTATAGACTTAATAGTACTTTTAACAGTTGTATTCCTCGGATACTTAGACTGGCAAATTCTCTGGATAATATTTGATTCCTCTGTAAATAGATTTAAGCACAACATTCAAAATACACCAATGTAATTTTTATCCACTTATTGTAACCTAAGTGGGATGCCCATAAATATATAAATACATAAAAAAAGATAATCTGTAGGAATCAGTTAAATAACAAAAATTCGTCTTATTCATTAGTTCCAATAATCTGAGCAGAACAATTTTGTATCATTTCCGTAAAAATTAATAATTCTATTAGTTTTAACTGCAGTTATTTTTTATTTATTTGTGATTTTCCATAATTTACTGTTTTTAGTTTAATAAAGATATTTAGCAGCCACTGTCTTGTCTATCATGCAATTAGAATGTATCTCCAAATTAAACTGTAATTTGAATAAGAAAACGTTTTATAGTTTTTCTATGTCTTAAGCGCCTTTATTGGATATATCATTGTTTCTATTAGTTGACGTAACTGATAAATAAGGGCCTATAAAATTACTTACACAGATAATGGAATGACCTAAACGACAGGTATAAAGGATGTAAACGCATCTCCTGAGGCTGATTTGGCATAAACGCAGAAATAATCGTATAATTTAATTAAAATATTTAATATTCATAAGAAGTACATAAAAAAATTGTCACCATATCTCGCTGCTCATTTACACCTTATGGTGAGCAATGTATGTATAAATAGGTAATCTTCTACTTCTAAATTGTACTTTTGTGCTTACGTCTCTGTCGTGGATGCGTCAAAATATCCTTCATACTGAATTTTATGATAAGTGCTGCAGCTAGAGAGAGCATCAACACACAGTAGGGTGACCATATTTCTTTTTGGTCCAATGCTGGACACTAAACATAAACACAAACAATAAAAACAGACAAGTGATGTAGACAACCAGAGGACCTTTTTTTAGCTACTCTAGTCTTATGTGTTACAATAATGGTGTTTTGTTGGACAAACTCAGCGATTTGATGTACAAGATCAAATGCTGGACATACTTTCAAAATGCTGTACAATACAGCGACATGATGTACATATTATGGTCATCCTATAACATTCAGAGATTAACAGATTCGTTTTAAATTATTGAAAAGGAGAAAAGGATGACAGGTAGAACACTTATTGATGAAAGACAGAAACTAAAGGAGGACAATTGGTCACCTTACAATAAACCATTTATACAGCATCATAAAAGGAAACCAGCAGACCCTTGCAGATACCCTTTTGATTGTCTGTATGTGTTAAGTTTAAAATTTGTTTTTGGAGCATGTATTAAAATTTAGAGCTTACTGTTTATTTATAGAGCAATTTCAACCTCAACTAGAGGAAAAAATCTGCGGTCTCAAGCTGAAACTTACCTAATAAAATAGGTCCAGTGGTATTTTCTGATTCATTTAATGTATTCCATGCAACTTCTGTAAAGTCATTCCCTCTAAACTTTGGAGTTGTTCTAACTTTATCTAATTTTTTCGATAAATAAAGCAGTTCTGGTCCCCCATCAGAACCTTTGGGAGCGAAAGTGAGAAGCAAGTGATTTCCAGTAGGATCCAAAAATAAATTTGTGAGCCGAGATGTACTTGTGTACTTCAATAAAGATATTTCTATAACAAATAAGAGATTTTGATTGCATTAATTTAAGTTACAATAACAAATACTATTATTACCTGATGTTTGGTGTGGATTATTTAAATTCATTTTAAATAGCAAACTATTAGCCATTACTATAACTAGGTATTTATTAGATACAGCTACATGTGTTATCTTTTCAGGAGAAGCAAAATCTTTTTTGCTTTTAGTAAAAATGGGAACTTCAGTTTCAAAAGACATATTAATATACCCTGATGTAGTCTAAAAACAAAACAATTAAAGAATTGATTAAACTAATAAAATCAGTACCATTTCAGGGGTAGGAACTTGTTTAGTCTTCAAAGACGCTTGTTCAAACTGATCGAACATTGAAGTCATGTTTTTATTTTAATAATCTTCCATACAAATTTATTACAAAATATTTTGGATTTGACAACTTGACTTGACTTGACATCCTATTTTGGGGTTAGGAAAAACAAAACACAAAACCCGCCCCACACATTGCGTTCGGTCTGCCAAGTTCCTTTAACTCCTTTAACACTTTTAACTCCAAACGACCCTTTTAGCGTTCGGTTTAGTCCGATTAGTGACAGTTTAACACGCTTAAATGTCATTTAAAAGCACCCTAAAATTTGTCCCGCTCCAGCCCCTGACTATCCGAACTCGCCTACAGAGGATGTAAGTACAGAGAACAAACTCGGTGTCGGCACGATTGATCTCGCTAAGTCACCGGCGGCCATGTTCAAATTATAGAAGTCAGGCCCGCATTTTGATAATTATGTTACCAAAGGGAAGATCCGTACTCAAGAAATTCATTTTGGTAAGGATGTGGCGTGTTTTGAATTTAATTTAATTTTTTAATTTGAATTATAACTAAAATCAGGTACGAGCTGTTTTACAGGGTGTAATGAAAATATATATCAGGATTTAAAAAATAATTTCTGGAAATAAAGTCGCGTGTATAGTAAAATCCATTCTTGAGATAGTTTAAAATTATATAAACAAATTTATAGAACTATGAGTAGTATAAAAATATTTTGACTAGATCCAGTTATTCAGGACAAAAATGACCTGAACTTAGATTTACATCGGTCATAAATATAGTCTGGTGTAGATTTTTAATAAATTATATTTTATATACTAAGCTGTCCATGTAAGTATACAAATATTTGGAATACATAAAGAAACACACAATGAAATATAATAGTATATTACGTAACAAGAGTTGTAAGTAACCCATTACGCACGAAGTGAAAAAGTTTACGCACCAAGCCGCGCAGCGGCGAGTGCGTAATGGGCTTACAACTCGTGTAACGTACTATACTTTTTCTACGCCCACTTATTTTCTTCTATTAAATAAAGGACATATGCTTGTGTCGCTAATCCATAAATTTTCGATGGGTAATTTCGTACCTTTTTTGGATTTTAGCAGTAGCAAATTATATATGGCAGCTTGAGCTATTTCTAAAATCTCTGGTGGAGTGCTCATAATCTCATCACTTTCACTACTAACAGATATATTCATAGGTAGAGTTAAGAAAATGTTCAAATACAATATTTACTATAATGTATAATGTGTTGCCGACATTTAGGGGCATAATTATTTTAATCCAAAATTTTTATGTTTTTAAATTGACTAAATTTATGTAAATGAACCAAATAAAGTCTTACGTAGATACAAATTTGATTGCAATTTAATTAAACTAAGAAATTTAAGTTTTTTTTTTATCAAAAAGCACGTGTATATTATGAGATCCACATACTTTGATTACTATAGAGAAAGTAAAAGTTGAAAAGTCTTTTGGTAGGTAGAGAGGGGGTAAACGTCAAACAACGTCGGGCGGCTCCGAGAATTTCGCAGTAATGTTTACCTGCCAGTCCCAGACAGCACACCAAATCCTTTGGATATCTACTGAACATCCCAATATCCACTAAATGTCCAGTCCATGGTGGATATCTATTTTATATCCATGAAATGTAATTTATAGACATGCAAATGTCCATAAATAATAGTAATTATATAGCAAATTATTAAAAAATTACGCCATTGTGCTCGCCATTGTGGCTAATAGTACCGTTCAGATATTTAAAATTATTTTTTTAAGGTGTATTCAATATCCCATGGACATCCACATATATCAAAGTCTTAGCGCGGACGCAAACCATCGTGGATATTTACTAGATGTAATTTTTGATTTTGCTTCCTAAGTATAGATGGCGATACCACTTTCGTATCTACTCATGCTCAACCCGCCATAATTGAGTTGATCGAAAAATTTTTCGCATTAAGACTCTATTAGAGACTGGAGTCGAGAATTTCCATTTATTGCTGAAGAGTCCTAATAAGGATGACTTTTTCCTTAGTGGGCAAACTCAAAGGCAGATTGTTGGAAATATTTTTTATCTCTATTTTCTTTCGACGTTATTCAATAATATAATCATTTGGTTACTTATGAATGTCTACTAAAGATACCTATAAAATATTTTACTGAATATCTCCTGGGATATAGACGGACATTTGGTTGGATATCCAAAAAATATATTCTGTGTATATCTCTGGGATTTCTTGTATTGTCTGGAAGATACTAATTAGATATTTTGCTGAATATCCATAGGATATCTTCTATATTCTGGATATAGACGGACATTTGGATATCCATATTAGATCCACGGAATATTTCTGATATCCTGTGGATATATTGGATATCCACAAAAGATATTCTGTGGATATCTCTGGGATTTGGTGTGTTGTCTGGGGTGTCGTTTCATAGAATAAGTAATTTTAAATTGTTATCGGCGGAACCGGACAATCGCATGTATTTATGGATTATAAATAATTATTAAACATGTATTATAATATTCAAATCATAATTTTACAAAATTTCAACAGCTATTCACAATTTATTAAATTATTTACTCGAAATTGTTATTAACATCTATAAAATAATTTTGTACGCCAATGTATCGCGTCCACTTCGGTGATATCCGCTGCCAACCTGTCAATTTATGTGTATAAGGTGGGAGAACTGGCAAAAGCATTTCCAACTTTTACTTCTGTTCTATACGAGGAAAGAGATCATCCATATTTTTCAAAATAAACATAAGCTTATGCCTTGAAGTAAAACTGTAAGCAAATCTTTTTTTTAAATATCCAAAGGCTGAAAATTGGTTTTAAAGCACATTTTTGCTAAACCAATTCAAATTAATAAATATTTGCCAGGCAATATGGCCGCTCGCAAACGACCAGCTTTGAGCAATTTATATAACTATTGCCGCGTTTGAGAATCCACATCGGATGCATCTGAGATGTTGTGAATTTTTTATCACGTGATAGAGAATTAGATCTGAATGTAGATGTAATAAACAAACGCTCTAGACTTTATTTGGTCACGTGACAAATGTCAATGACAAGTTAGAAGTTTATACTTATTAAATTTGACTTTTGAGACTACAAATCAACCTAAATTTGAAATATAAACAAAAATTAAGCAAACTAATCACTTTTATATTCATGCTAGCATAAACAAAGGAAAAATTGACAAACAAGGCTTCACAGAACACTTACTTTCTAGCATCGAACAAACATCTCATTCACATCTCATTTCGAATCGAGATGTAAAAAATGTAATCTGAACAGGTACATCTGGGATAAAAAAACGCAGATGTAGATGTAGTAGATGTGTCAGATGTGGATAAAAAAACGCTCGAGATGTAAAAAATGCATCCGATGTGGATTCTCAAACGCAGCATATATATGTATCATTGACCCTGTTAATGACAACAGGGCTGGAACTCTGTGTCATGTAGAACAGGGTAGCTATTCACTAAGTCATGGGCGCGCTTCCATGGGAGTGTTCCCATATATTTTGCTCTCTTACTCTTAGGTGGGTATATTGTGCTTACTCCGACCTAACTACGATGTACCTGGGCTAAAAGTGAGTAAGCACAATATACCCACCTAAGAGTAAGAGAGCAAAATATATGGGAACACTACCATGGGAGCGCTCCCATGACTTAGTGAATAGCTATCCAGAAGTAAAAGTTGGAAATGCTTTTGCCAGTTCTCCCACTTTATACACATAAATTGACAGGTTGGCAGCGGATCTCACCGAAGTGGACGCGATACATTGGCGTACAAAATTATTTTATAGATGTTAATAACAATTTCGAGTAAATAGTTTAATAAATTGTGAATAGCTGTTGAAATTTTGTAAAATTATAATTTGAATATTATAATACATGTTTAATAATTATTTATAATCCATAAATACATGCGATTGTCCGGTTCCGCCGATAACAATTTAAAATTACTTATTCTATGAAACGACACTGGCAGGTAAACATTACTGTGAAATTCTCGGAGCCACCCGACGTGGTTTGACGTTTACCCCCTCTCTACCTACCAAAAGACTTTTCAACTTTTACCACAGTTTATAGCTTAAAAGAATCAGTTCGCTCACTCTGCGTCGGCACTTTTGATCTCAATGTCCCAGTTTATACATTGCGCAACTCGGATTTGTATCCCTGGCGCATACAGAATCAAATTATAATAGCCCAAGGGCCTACTGTAAATTTTTACCGCCATCTGATAATGAAATAAAATATACCCCAAAAGCTTGTAAAAGCATTGTACTTTACCGAATGGCACCTGTGACAATCCCAATCCTGAGCAAAGTGTTTAAAAAAAAATGTATATTAAAAAAATTACATAAGGCATGACAGCGCTAATTTTGTTTGCCCTTAAAGTTTTCCAGATAATAACATATTCAAATATATCTTGATATATATCGTTAACGGGAAACATTTTCTTCTTCTTAACATCGCACAAAAACATCTACACACGATTAGTAGGTAAAAATCATTAAAAATATGAATCAATTTTTGCTAATTTAAAAATTTATTTGTATGCCTATTGTTGTGATTCATTTTTACAGGTTGTCATAGAAACGACAAAAAAACTACTATGATTATGGTTTAAAAGAATTGTCTAACAAGAGCTTATAATTATTATTGACTATCTCTGCCAAAGTTAGGTAAAAATATTAATAATTCACAATGAATTAGGATTGTAATTTTCAGAGAAAACACAATTATCGCTGTCATGTCTTATGTAATTTTTTGAATATAAAATAATTTTTTTAACCACTTTGCTGTGGATTACAGATTGGCACAGGTGCAATTTGGTAGAGTACAATGCTGTTACATGTCTTTGGAGCATATTTAATTTTGTTATCAGATGGCGGTCGTAATTTGCAGTGGGCTCTCTTACTATTACCAATTAAGCATTCCAACGACCTGTCAAACAATAGCTGTCAGTGAGAAGGTCTGGGCTGGAACTCTGTGCCATGTAGAATTCTACTTATCGCTATCTACAATAGATTCTTTTGTGGCACTCTGTGTAACATAGCGGAAAACCAACGGAAAACCAACTTACTACAGGATAACTATAGTTTCATAAGAAACCACATTGCGATATTTCCCGTGCGGTTGATAACGTATTTATCACAAAAGAAAGTAATCGATTCCATTGTAGAAAGCGATAAGTAGAATTCTACATGACACAGAGTTCCAGCCCTGGTATATCTAAGGGGGCAGAGACATAGTCTTGCATCTTGAACGTTTTTTTTATTCTAAATAATAGTCACAAAGCCTGCCAATTTATGAAAAAATGTATCTTATTTTTATTGTGTTTGACATAAAATATTTAAATGTAATCCATTATTCATGATTTTACGTATTGTAAACAGAATACATTGTATGTCGCAACCATAGGTCGCAACCCTTGGATATATCAAATTTTCCCACTGGCAGTTCATTTGTTTGGAATGCCTAATACAATATATGACAACCGCTTATATTCAAACAGCAGTCTTCTGCGCATCCTGAATTTGTATCCCTGGAGTGGATGTTATTTTGGAACATCCAATTAGTCCGAGTGAGCGAACTGATTCTTTTAAGCTATAAACTGTGCTTTTACTTTCTCTATAGAATTCTACTTATCGTTTTCTAATAGAAATCGATTACTTTCTTTTGTGGTACTCTGTGTAACATAGCGGAAAACCAACGAGATACTAGGTCTTTTCCTTTGCATCGAAAGTGTAGCACTGAGCTACGTCACTTCTGAAAATATCGTCCCATCCATACAATTTGTATATATGGAACGATATTTTCAGAATTGGTGTAGCCCAGTGCTACACTTTCGATGCAAAGGAAAAGACCTACTTATTACAGGATAACTAGTTTCATAAGAAACCACATTGCGATATTTCCCGTGCGGTCAATCGATTTCTATTGTAGAAAGCGATAAGTAGAATTCTACATGACACAGAGTTCCAGCCCAGGGTTGCCATATCTAAACTGTCAGTACCCCTTGGTAGCCATTTGGACATGCCGTTGGATTGGAATGCCCAATTAAATCCTTAATATTTTTCTAATTAATTTTAAATGTGTTAGTCCTATCCTGTTTACTTCAAAAAAGCAATCAATTGCTGCGTTTGAGAATCCACATCGGATGCATTTTTTACATCTCGAGCGTTTTTTTATCCACATCGGACACATCTACTACATCTTCATCTGCGTTTTTTTATCCCAGATGTACCTGTTCAGATTACATTTTTTACATCTCGATTTGAAATGAGATGTGAATGAGATGTTTGTTCCATGCTAGAAAGTAAGTGTTCTGTGAAGCCTTGTTTGTCTTGTCAATTTTTCCTTTGTTTATGCTAGCATGAATATAAAAGTGATTAGTGTGCTTAATTTTTGTTTATATTTCAAATTTAGGTTGATTTGTAGTCTCAAAAGTCAAATTTAATAAGTATAAACTTCTAACTTGTCATTGACATTTGTCACGTGACCAAATAAAGTCTAGAGCGTTTGTTTATTACATCTACATTCAGATCTAATTCTCTATCACGTGATAAAAAATTCACAACATCTCAGATGCATCCGATGTGGATTCTCAAACGCGGCAATAGCACAAGCGTTTGAGTTGTTTTTTTTTTAAGATGGCCGCCTTCGATTCTACGTTCCTGATCAAATGACATTTCCTATCTCCTCTATCCATGTCTGTAGTCTGTGGTCCAGAGAGTAGCTAACCTCAAAAATGTTTGGGATAACCAAAATTCAATTTTTCAATTCAAATTTAAAAGTATTAAGGTAAAAAATTGTGAAATTATTTCTTTATTATTCTTTTACGTTTCACTATATATTTTATTTTAAATTTTAGTACTATTATTCAACAAAATGGCATGTCACAATACCCTAATTACTATATTAAACCTATTTATAAGAAAGACAGCCAAGAAGAACTCATTAAAAGTGGTGAAATTAAAAAGTTAAGTCATTTACCCACAAGAGCAGCGTTAGCAGATCAAACTAGTAGCTTTTCTAATGATCCGTTAGCCAAGTAAGTACTTTTTTAACTACTCCTTACAGATAATAAGTTGTTAAATATACATTAAGGCTATTTTTTTTTAGCCTTCTGATTAACTATTGTATGAGAGAAGGGAACAAAATCCTTGCAAGAAATTTAGTAGAACAATGTTTTGAGAATATAAAACGTTTACAGTTGGAAAAATACCATAAAACTACAAACGAAGAAGATAAACATCAAATAGATCTTGATCCTAAAAGTATTCTTCATAAAGCCATTGAAAATTGTAAACCAATACTTCAACTAACACCAATAAAAAGGGGTGGAGTAAGGTATCAAGTAAGTTTGCTTTAAGGTGGATTCATAAACTATGTTCAGTTCATGTTCAGTTCGCGTTCAGTTCATGCTCAGTTCGCGTTCAGTTCATGCTCAGTTCGAGTTCAACATAAACAGAGCAGAATGACACGGTAAGTATGTTTTGGATAAGAAATTATAACGGATTCATAGTTATTTTATAACCAACATCATCTACAAATATAATTAAAACAAAAATAACATCAAAATATAATTTTATTTTGTGGAATTTGTGGTTATGTCTTGCCAACTTGAACTGAGCGCGAACTGACGTAGTTTATGAATCTACCCTAAGGGTGGATTCATAAACTACGTTTCTGATTCTAAATGTAGTTTAGGTCATGCTCCGCTCACGCTCCACTCAAGGCGCAATGCAATATTTTGACAGGCTATTTAAATGGAAATGTATTTGGCGTTTCGCTCATGGTAAGCTCATGATCTTTGACCGCGGTCTTTCTCTCTCCAGATATTTTGATCGAACCGTGAGTGGACCTTTGCTTCAGTGTGTACAAACAATAATCAGACTAGCCACAATTTTTCTATTCTCTAGTGGTGAAATGGCCTTCCGAAATGTAGTATTTTGCTTAATCAAATTTGCTGAAATTTTATTCAAAATGTATTGAAATATATGTTTTGTTATATGAAAATATTGTATTGTCTACAAGGCCTTTATATAGAGTGGAAAATTTTCCTTCCATCTTTCGTTTTCTTAAAATATCCTTAACATATATCTTCCGAGGTTTCTGTGTTGTTGTTCTTTATTATCTAAACATATTGCAATTGCAGCTAAATCAATTATTAAAAATTTGTTCATGTTAAAACATAAAATTTTAAAATGAGTGTCAGTTGAGTGTAATATGTGAATACTACCTCAAATCCTTGATTGTGAGCAGATCGTGAGTGTAGTGTGACCTGAGCACCGAGTAAGAATCGGCCTTTATATTATACAAATTTTCACTAACTTCAGTTGAGTTATCAATATAATTATGCCCAATTCTTATTATAATTTTTGTATATAGGTACATAATATTAGTGTTCGATTAAAAATATACTTTTCTTAGTGAGATTTTAAGATTCACATTTGGTATTTTTCACAATAATTTAAAGTTTATCTAATTAGACCAAAACCAGCATTGAATCTCTAAAGCCCGTATTACTCATGTAAAATATTATCTAATCTAGAATTTTCAATAGGTAAAGACTATGTCCTATGAGTCATTTTAATTATAAATTATTCATCTTTCTGTCTTTACAAATTTATAATTTCTGCCCTATTCTATACAAGATCTGACATTAAACTGATGTTAGAAGTTATGGGTAACAATAATATTTTTAAATAAAAATTCAGTGAATAAACAAACTTTTATTTCTTACTTTTACTAATATCTTAAGGCGATTTTATATCAGATACTATGTCTTGAATATGAATGACTACACTGATATAAATCAAAAACAATGACGTCGTTTTGAATATTGTCTTGGAATGGTCAAGTTTAACATGACTACAGTAAAAACGTGGTCATCACAGGTATGAAATGACAAATGTAAAACTTAGTCTAATCTTCATAGTTAAATTCTTAGCTTTTAATTATTAAATTATTATTTGGTTGTGTTATTTGTAAAATCTAAAGAAAGACCAAGTATAGGGTTGCCAGATTTACGAAAGGAAAAAGTGGGACGATGACCACAGGGATCAAGTTAAAAAAAACAGGTATTTTTATAAAATAAGATTCTTTCTTTGTGGAAATCTAAAAAAAAGGTCATAGGCTTATATTTTTATAAACCATAAGGTCCTTTTCCTGAGGAGCTTCACAAAAAAAGGTCAAAAATTGTCAAAAATTTCTTTATATATAACTTTGGATTTAAAAAACGTAGCATTTAGTTGAAATATGGGACATTTTCGTACTTTGGCATAACGCGTGCCAGCAAGTTAAAAAGCGGGACAATTACGCCTAAAGCGAGCCGTGTGGCAACCCTAGCTGAGTTCCTAGATATGGACACATTTAAGGTTTTTGTAAATTAAAATCCAATTTATTTTCAAGATTTATTGAACATATGGCAAAAGGTTTGATAAAATTTCAGAGGCCAAAGTAACTACAACACCAATTTTCTCTTTATCCGTGATCAGTACACAAATCAAATATTTATTTTTTATCCTTACAAATTCAAAATCAAATCCTAACTACAATTCATAATACATAAACAAAAATTGGCGATATCCGATAATGTCATGCGCATTGTCAAGTCAGTGCCAATATAAACCAAACATTTTTAAATCAGATTAATAGAACGTCATTATAATGACATAAGAACTTTGACCACACTTGACTTGGTCACATTTCTAGTAACTGATTTAAAATCGTCTTTAGAATATAAAGTAGTAAGGAAGGATGGTTACACCAAGTTCAGTTAACCAGGATTGTTATCCAAGATGGCTACTTGACATTAGTATTTGCCAGTGGTGTATTATATTTATATTGTTTGAAATTGTGATAAAATTCAGTAAAACAAAGTCTTTATAAAAGTGCATAATTATATTTCAGGATTTTTACAATTTAACATTATTTTTAATGATTTATCAAATTTTTACCTAGTCAATTATTTTGTTTGATGATATTGGATTAATGGAAATAAAATGTATTTTAATTGCAAAAGATTTTTATGAATATCTTAGATACAGCCTGGGCCAAGATTTTCCTAAATAGTCGTTCAACAATTTATTATTTCCAAAATATTCCACATTTTCTTCTTCCTCCATAATCAATTTTTTTTGAGATCCAGCATTATTTTCTTTAAAGATTTGCTGACTTTGCGTTGTCTCCAACAAATTTGATGTTATTTCCTTAATTTAATTTTCTCGACTTCATTCTGTGCTTCCAAGTTTTGGATTGGTCTTTTGAGCTTCTCTTTACGAGGGCAATCAGGAAGGGTCTCTTCTAACTATATATGTATGTTCAACTTTGTTGACAAACATAAGGTCCAGGAAGAGCTAAAAAAGCTTCATCTCAGGCAGTTGTTACCTGTTTAATATCGTTCTATCTATACAATTTGTATAAATGGAACGATATTTTCAGAAGTGCTGTATGTAGCTCTGTGCTACACTTTCGATGCAAAGGAAAAACCTATTAGGTCCGTATTTATAAACATAACTCAGCTGAGTCGGACTTGGGTGAGTCGTCCTTGAACGAAAATCGAAGTTCGGTTATATTGCGTGAATTTAGAGATGGGTAGTAACAAATCCGTAAAAAATGTACTTAACAGTTACAGATTTGCTAATATCCATCTCTAAATTCCAGTGTAACACCGAACTTCGATTTTAGTTCAAGTCCGACTCTGAGTTTTGTTAATAAATACGGACCTTACTTAAGACCTATAAAATGAATGGTGTTACGATAATGTACTTACCGATAAAAATTAATTTTCAAAAAGTCGTTTTTAGCAGTCTTTGAGCATCTACAAGCACTACAACTAACCATTGCATTTATCACTATATTTAATATTTATTGCACTAAGATTATGTATTATTGAACTAAAATTAGATTTTATATATTAACTATTCTATTATCGATTAAAAATGGTTCAACAACTAATACCTTGCAAAATATAATACAAAAGCCAACTTTCAAATGACACTAAACAATGATTCTTAATCGTTAACCAAAATGGCCGTCTTTGTCACCTACGTTTCCTATTGGAAATATGGCACACACTCCTTCCTTACTACTTTATATTGTAATACTAATATCCATCGAAGAATGAATATTTTATTTAAATAATAAAGTAAGTTGAATAATGCCTGTGACTAAATTCTTAGTAACATTAGTTCATGAATCATAATATTCAATTTTTGTTTCAATAGAAATAAGTATTGATATACAGAAATATAATTTTGATATACAATTCCAACAACCGATTAATTTAAAAATAGGGAAACTCACAAAGCACGTATCTTCTAGAGACCCCACGCTAATGTTAAACTTTTAAACCAAATTAGCGCCACCTTGTGTTTGGAGCAGGAACTAAAATGACAATTGACATATGGCGATAAATTCAAATTGTAATTTTTAGTAGTAGGTAGTAGTTCTAAATTAAATTTTAAATGATTTCCACATAAATTATTTTATAAAATGGAACTAGTAAATTCGAAACTTTTATTTTACAAAATAATTTAGGTCGATTATGCCAAATTTGAGGAATTAATTTGCTATAAGGGGTCTGATGTGGAGAGTTGGTTCTGCATATTATTATTAAATAAATATAAGATATATCAATAAATAATAAAATACAACATTCTTAAAATATGTTTATTAATAACTTAAATAAATATTATTAGATAAAAATAAATACAAATAATAATACATATTGTCATGAAATTCCTCCTCCGAGCGCGACCTTCAGATGGCAACCGACTCGTGCTCGAGGCGACGGAACGTTCAGGAATGCCGCTGACGCACTAGAAACGGCTAGAACGGGCAGAGAGTACCATTGAGTCAGAGATGGAATTTTCTGGAGCCTCTGGAGTCTTCTAGTAGCAGAGTTAGACTTAATATAAATAGCCGGCTCATCGGCGCACAGTTTAGTTTAGTATAGAACATTGTAATGAAAAGTTAAAGTGTAATAAATAAATTAGAATTGTTAGTAAGTGTCTAAGAATTATATAAATTAAATAGTACGTCATAAATAAATTGTAAATAGTGTGTTTAAATAAATAAACTATAAATAAATTAGTAACATTGGCGTTAGAAGTGGAACTATAAAAAAATAGTGGACAATAATGGCTAAAAAACTAGGTGATTTAAAAGTGCCAGAGCTACGTCGAGAATTAGAAGAACGTGAACTGGAGACGACAGGGAAGAAATCAGAACTGGCCGAACGACTTAAAAAGCACTATAATTTCTTCAATTTCTTCCGATATGGAAAGTAAAATGTCGTCTATGAAAACCGAAATTTCTTCTAATATTTCTTCTTTAGAAACTAAAGTTTCT